AACCCACCCTATAGATCAGTGACTTGTGTTCTTTCAGAACGGGGATAAGCCCTCTATAGGGGTATACAGGTGCAATCATTTTAAGACGGTGAAAATTGTCGCAGCAACTACCCAAGTTTCAATGGGAACAGAACGGACTTTTAGTTCAGCGGACGCAAAATAAGACAACCCCAAGATTTCAGTTGTAAAAATGCCGTTCTAAAGCACTGGTGAGTTTCATTAGCAACTTGACAACGGTATCCAATCTAAATAATGGTATTGCAGATCAGAGAACATGAACACAATGTTCTAATTGAAGCCAGTTCGACAAGATTCATGTTACTTAAACGATGGAGCACGAAAAACATCGTAGTCACAGCCTCCTCAACCAGCCGAGAAAATTCGACCTGGAGCAATCAGTAAACCACCTCAGCTCTATTGGCGGTGAACGATCGTCTTTGTTTAACGCATGCTTTCTCGTGGCGGGAATAACTCTTCTATCACGCAGATTATGTTAATCACAAATCTGAGTGATTTAAACACAGTGCTCTCACACAGGACCTCCCGCAAACAATGATATTGGTTGCCAACTATAAGTTGACATCAAAAAGGACACAAAATTGACATACCAGGAAGTCAAACAAGAACGCCAACTTGTAATTAATTTAAAACACGTCATGCTAAGATGATCCAGCAAACCGGAGTTTAGCCAGTTACTGAATGCTTAACCAGACCCAAATGACCTCAAATTTATTGGTAGTATAGACTGTGGAACATTAGTGGATTGACCACATCCTATCTACATGTGTGCGAAACCTGTGGTAGATTGGGTCATAAAACTGACCAGCTGTCGCGGTGTTTGTGAGCCAAACACGTGCGCACTGCGTCCACTAGACAGTGTGACTTTTTCTCCCTCTCTCAAACCTCCTTTTTGTCAAGAATGTCTTAAATTTCGAGTGTCACTGAAGCATGTTTCCATCTACATCAACAATCGGCTAACGAAATTTCAAGTACACGCAGTTTCCGATATGGCCGTTGTTTTGAAAAACTCTTTGGAATTCATTGGGTGGACCAGATTGTTCCGACATCCACTAAAAACACGAATCCCATTCGTTGGTGAGTTCCGACGTGAATTTTCATTTCCAACCTGTCATCTGCATGGTTGTTTTCACGCATTTAAAAACGATCATCTTAATTTACTTGGAATGGATTGGATTGGATAAACTAATTGAAATAGTGACGATTTTCAGTCTTTGAAATTTGCGATCCTTCTGACAACGTCGATCCCACAATCAACCTATTTGAATTGAAACAACTTTTCCCCCAATGAAATTGAATAGGGAATACAGTGGGTTAACGTTGCACAATTTGTATTCGGATATAGCAGCTCGATACCTAGCTCAGCTCTACTCCAGAATATAAATATCTGAATGAATTTGTTTTCAGTTCGCGAATGATACTAGACTTCTATTCTTCCAGTCCGACTCGTCAAGTTATCACTTGGCCACAAACCATTTTGAAAACATTGACGTCAGACTGAGAAAATTTAGGGTAGAAGATCAAGCTGGTTGAAGAGTGAGATCCCCAGAGAGACTGCAAAACAGAATCTAAGTTGTAATTTTTGTATGGACTCGCCATAAGAATCTCTTTTGATCTAGAAGCGTGTGACAAGTCTCAGAAGAACGTTCGCGATAAGTTTATACCTTCGGATAGATGGATGGATCGTAGAAATATTAATATAAGTACAATAAACTTTAGCACCCACATTGCAGTACCAGATTAATTAGATTAGATCAATTAGATTGGTTATACAAGGCGAACTCGAATTCCACTATTTCAGGTAAGAATCAATCCAAAAAAGAAAGAGCGTTTGTGAGTTTACAGTTTTGAAACGAGGGGTGCGTAGTGGGCCGAAGCAAGCTGTGTAACTGCTAATAGCTCATCATCATCATCGGACAGTATATGACTAATCAGCTTTTTTATCGACTTTGTGAGTATTAGTCAACCCAGTAGTGTTTCATCAATCGATCCATATTCACCCCGACTTTGTCTTGTAAATCTATTCTTTAGAATACCCGGTCAGGTTGTTGTTGTTGTTGTTGTTGTTGTTGTGTTCCTCCTGAGCGGGGACACGCGAACCAAGGGATCGCGGATACAATAAACAGTATCCGGTAATTCGTGATTAGACGGAGAAGAATCGAAACGAGTCTGTCTTGACTTCGGTGGTCGACGGGTAAAGTAACCTGTCTCAGCTGATCTATCTTATCCTCACACTCACACATAATGAAGTCCATTTCCGTCCAGTATATTCAAAGGATGAACATTTGACTTCAACAAGCGAACAGTGGCGATCTCCGTTTTTGATGTCGTTTTCATCCACATCACTGTGAGCTCCACGTTCGGTACCATGTGAATCAGGGCTGAAGCCTATTAGGTATCCACTTGATTTCCACTCTCTCTCTCTCTTTACCAACTGCGCCATTATGGAACACGAGCCTATCTCAGCCCCCTGTTCTCAAGGACAAAGGTGTTAACGTATCCTGGATGCCTTTTAGATAACAGCCTTATCATGCAACGTATGTCGAACTCAAGATTCAAACTCTATTGCTCTACACGCTATCGCTGGGGGACAAACTATACGAAAACAGAGTTCCATGCTTAACTGAGTTCGTCAGAAAAAACCTTTTGGTTGGGATCATTGTTCGGATGGAACTGAACGGTTTGTTCATTGGTTTGATATCATCCAACCACAGCACTGATGCATTCACACCACAAACCTCATCCTTCCTGGCTTTGCGTTTTTGCGTCATCCGTGACGTGACCTATTGATCTATTGTTCATTCACGGCTTGTCATGATTTCATCTCGTTTCACACACAAACGCACACAACATGTTTTCCCTGCCCCTCCCCGTGGACCATGACTAATCACAAACGAACAAAGCTAGTTTGCACCATTCTCTCACAACCTATTCAGTACTATCTGGCTTATCGACTTGACAAGAGGACCTTGCAAAAGGGTCGTCGTGATTGGTCTGAACATCCATAATTCGGTTGGATAAAGTGGGCATGTGGTAGCATTGATTCATGAAATGCACGTATTCCACATGTTTTTTCCGGAAGACATCTTCTAATCGATTAATCCGGTCAACGAGTAATGTTCACATTTGCAAACGCCATGCGGTCGTCCCCCTATGGTCGCAACAAACTAGCTGGGTGTTAGATTAAATCAATTAAATGTTTTTTCCGTCTTCCTTGATGTTGCTGAGAACGAAGATGTTATCAATAGAGTTTTGAAACTTCCTCTTTAAGCATTTCTTCCAGGTGGCTAAGGAAAATATTCCTAAGAATTGATCCCAGTGGACTACCCATGGCGACCCAATCTATCTACTGATATCCTTGGCAAATGAACGGAAATCTAACGTTTGATGTCTTGATATTTCACTGATAGGTCAACTAATCAGCAATTTCCCTCCTTCAGTTGTCTGACAGATAATCCCGGTGGTCTCATGCTGCGGAAGCTTGGTGGATAGAGATTTGACATCCATTATGAACATTCTGTTTTTTGTTGGATATGTCTTTGGGTTAAATGTTTACTCACCTCGAAACTGTCCTTGACATTACTACGACCAGTTTGTTGGGGTAACTTGATCCTGCTAACTCGTTACGACGAACGGGAAGACCACATCGACTTGTTAGATATAATCATAACTCGTCGACCGGGTGGATTGATAAGAATACCTGCCTTCCGAAAGAATTGGTTCAATCAAATCCTGGCTGTCTTATTGTGATACCGAAACGTTTTCCTACCATTTGTGATCTGATTCTAGCAACATGCTAACTGTAGGAAATTTAGAAAAAAAGGTCACAGCTCGGAACGTACCTTAGTTCCATACAACCACACAACGATCCTAGACTTGTATTTAAATTTTTCTGTCCGGTACCAACTTGATTCAACTTATTCGATTCTGTATATCGCTGTTCTGCCACCTTAATAATCCCGCGTGTTGATGGAACAGGTTTTCGGACATGTTTGTGATGCTTGCCCGTGTTTCTTGTCGTCCTATAAAATGTTTTTATCATATTTCTTTACTTCCTATCAGATACTGGAGAAAGTCGCGCGGTAGTGGTGGAATTCGAACACACGTCCTCCTGGGGCATTAATTTGGTTACCTTTACTGCTTGACAATGAAACGATACACATACAGACAGCTCCGATAAACTAGGCAATTATTTGTCAATATCGACCGCGTGTACAGACTTTGGTTTGGTTCGTTTGCCGTTTGGCAACATCCAGCATCCTCATCCCAGACACTCATCTCTGCTGTCATCCATATGTCCGACAAATATTTATTTTTACCTGCTATAACACCAGATGAAACTTTAAGATAGGTGGTACAATTATCAGTTAGGAATGTATTACCTGGAACATAAATTATTTAGTCTTGATTGTCAATAAATGGCCGTTACGATTGATATCAGTCCGTTCTGGATTGGAATCCTTGTGTGCAATATGCTTTGAGTTAGGCTCACCGGTGACCGTGACTGCACAAACAAGCAGTGAAGAATATCAACCGGAGCCTTCTGTGTTCAGTTCAAACAGTCCGCCTGAGTACGCAGTTCACTCAAAGTTCCGTTCCCGCATTGAATCGTTTCTAACAATAACAGCTATTTTACAGGTGCACGCCCAACTGCAGTATGTCGAAATCCCATCCACACTCCAGACTTATCCATGCCAACCAATGGTAAAATAAACCGGAAGCTTACAACCGATAAAAGATGGTGATCAATTACTTACTCAGTATGGACTGGATCTGCCCAAATCTTTCGAATCACGTGAAACCAAGTAGATTCAAAAGCAATGCTTGTATTTTTTCAAATTGTCCACTGAATGCACAGAATCTAGATTGTATCACGTCCGGATCTGAACTTACTATCATCGCATCGTTAATAACATTTGTCTGTATCTGTGTGTCTGTGAGTGTTTGCGTGTGTGTGTGTGTGGGGGGGGAGTCAAGCACAATTAGTTAGAAAAACCATCAAAATATCCGTTATCATCCTCATCTTCATCATCGACCAGAGCGGAAGAAGCAAGTATACGTTCTGGGATCACTAAACCATTATCCGGCTCGTATGCACTTTCCGCGAACAATAATTTTCTCAATGGTTTCATGTCTGTGTCTTCTCGGGCCTCAGGGGAATGATCAGTCCACATGCTAGGAGAGGGGACAAAAACGAGACGATCAGACGTATCCAACAGACCCGACAATCGGGGTTCACGACGTTCCGGATCGGACAATAGTCGTTGCAAATAGAGCACACGCAACGCTTCTAGTGAGCTCGCATCTTCCGGATCTGGAAAATTAGTTGGGCCGTGAACCAGAGAATCTCGTTTGCGCAATTTTCGTGGCTTTTTGTCCAGTAAAACATCCAAACCCGATGGTTTCTCGCTGAGTGATTGCAACGGGTGTGCCTGTTCTCGTGCTGTGGCTTGTAGTGCCCGTTCCCGATTAGCCAATGCTTCTCCTTCGGCCACAGCCTCGAACGCGCGCAATTTTGCTTCGTCGGCTAGATCCTGCAGAGTTTCCGCTCGGTGTGCGGCTTGCTTCGCCGCCTGCTCCAGTCTGGCTGCCATCACCACCTGACGTGTGGCTTCCGCTTCCAGTTCGTCTTCCAGCTGACCACTCACAGTTGCCCGAGTTTCGCCTGGGACCAAACCAGCCGCGGACACGAATGCCGGGACATCTTTCAACGGAGCTGATCTGACCAGCACCAAGACAACATGAAAGAATACGATGCACACTGAAAGCCGAAACAAGAACATTCTCTGTTCTCAACAGATGCTTGCGATCAGGGGCTCCTCTAGGCACGCAAAACGCCCTCAGGCCAACTCAGTTCGTATAGATTTTTATACGGGTTATGAGGTGTGACGGAGCGAACGAACGAGCAAGCAATGCTGTCGTATCAGTTAGCCCCTGGATGAATAAATAAATGACCGCGTGGACCCTAAGCTGTGTGTGTCTGTGTTGTGATGCGACTAGGTGGTGTTGTTGTCCGCTTGTGTATACTCGCATTCTAACCGCGTTCCTACTCGCCAGACTGTATGAGCTGTGATCGTGTGTCGGACAGGCTTTCACTGCATGCCTGAGCACCCTGCGGACAGGCAGTGGTTACCTTGGGGATTCCAGCAGGGACAGCACAGTTGCATAAACAGATGAATTGGGTTGAAGAGACGATCCCGTTGGGACAGACACACAATCAGAACGGCTGGATTGGACAGAGATTGGTGGGACTGTTGAGGAAGGGAGCGAGAGACGGGGTGAGAGCCAGAGGGATTGCAGACTAAACATCCCAGTGTGCATGTGTGTTACTCACCCACTCACGTTAAAAACTGCTCTACTATTGCTCGATTTCATCGTGTGCAAAACAAATCATTCAACTTACCGGGAGTTTCTTCTCATTCCGTCATCCTACTGGTGTATCATAACAGGACAGATGCACTTGAAAAGACGCACAGTTACTTAGCCGCTCCGACCACTATGTTGAAGGTGGTTGTTTTCCCTTGTGTTTCGTTACACAACCACATTGGCATGAAAATGATCCACCTTCGAATTCCGATACCCATTCGAGACAACGATTAAACGGGGTCATCGTCCAGGTCATTCACTTGATCGATCTGGAAATGTACTTCTGTCTGTGTCTGCATAAATTGGTAATTCACCCGAATCAGAAAAGGACGTGACTTTTATCAACCGACGGCGTACATTTAAACACAAAGCTTCTAGACGTAGGTGAACTTCGAAACCGTCAGGTGAATTGTGTGTTTGTGTTTGTGTGTGTGTGATTGGAACCGGTAGCGTGCTTCCAGAAAGGTTTTGTCCTGCCATTTCGAAGCGAATTCGGTCCTATCATGATGATGATTCGTCGCGTTTGGTCGTTACCGAATGAAGGTTTGGTGATAAATAATGCTGATATTACAGCGTTCACTGCTCATCTGTTAGTTTTCACAATTGACACGAAAATAATGAAGCAATATGGGCAGAATTTATGCTTCCCCTCCCCCAGAAATTAAATACTTCCAAGAATAAAAATATTTTAACATGGTTCAGTTACAAACTTGTTAACCGAGACACAGGGGGTGGGGTGGGGAGAGTAAGGTGATTTCTACATTATTCTTTGTCTTATGATGCTTACTTATATCAAGGCCGGGGTAAATGTTCAACTAAATCTGACGGTTTCATTGATAATCCTAATTAGTGTGCCAAAAGTGATCACATATACCTTTTCCCTACTGCAGTACAGTCATCACCCAAGAGGATTCCGTCTGTGACATACCAAAGCGGGAAACGTGGACTGGATTTAGTGACAATGGGAATCGGATTCCAATGCCGTGAACCTTGAGTAACTGTCACTGTGAGATCACAATCGCCACGTCAATCATGTCCCTACGACGAGGATGGTCTATTGAACAACTACAGTCCTCCGAAAAAAAAATCGATGGAATCAATATTTATATGCTTGAAAAAAAGAGGAACCAGTGTCAGGTTCTCAATGTTCTTGACCAAATCGTAATCGGCAAATCCTGTTGCGAAGAGGAGTAAGAAACTATCTGAATTGACCGTTCCACATCATAGGTAGACAATCGATTGTTAGTTATACGTTGACCTTATTTGTGTGTGTGTGTGTGTGTGTGTGTGTGTGATACTCTAGGCACTCATTACTGGCCACGAGATAGAAAACGGTTGAAACAGTTGAGCAGAGCTTCCCAGCTCGTTTTCCATTTGTGCACAATGAGTTTCATTGAATGTTAGAGGCGGTGATAACAGTCCTTATCGTGTTTCCGATTTGCTTCGATACGCGTGCGGTGTGCGCCGACTACAAAACCATTTTGAACCCAATTTTAACTCCTCCTTCTTTGTATTTGCACATTCCTATACGCGACTTCGTTTTATTCGGTTGCACAGCACTAGCCTTCGGTTCGGATAGCATCAACCAGTCGAATGGATCAGCCTGACCCGGTTTCAATTTGAAGCGAACCAAACGTGCACGTATTTTTTCTTTCTGTTTCGTTCAACAAGTTAAATGCTTCCATTAGAATCTCGAATTTTCGCTCCAGACTGCTGCGATTGGTTGAACTGCAAGTACAAACACACACAAGCAGACTGAGAATCGCTAAGTAGGAGAAGTACTTGTGTCCTCCGAGTGTGACAATAACGCTTTATTTCTATTAACATGGGAATTATTGTTCCTTTTCAAAGACCCATTGATTCCAAACCAATCAAGCCAGTCCCGCAAGGATTTTATTACGGTATTTATTCCCCTGCTTGTTTGTTCACCAAGCCGAGAGAAGCTAATTATTATTTCTGTGGTCAGTATATTAAGTCTGGAGATAGCTAGCGAAGTTTGTTCCTCAAAATTACCCATCTGAAAGTTCAACAGATCACTGGCGATGTGTCTTAGTGATACCATATACAACGTATCTGAGAGTGGACGCCCGAAGCTTTAGTAATCAACCGAACAGTTGATTGAAAGTGTTCCTCCACACAGGATTGTGTGACTGACAGAACGAGACCATTCGAGCCAATTGCGACCAAATCCCAACAGCGCATGCACGCGAACTTTAGCTCACTGCATAGTTGTGTCCACCGGCCAAAGGGTCACCAATTCCGTTGATTCTCTCAGTTAGGTGCGCTCACCGTCGAAAGATACGCGATCCCGCTTGGACAGCACCATCGCACATCACAATCAGACTTACGGTACGGCAGCGAGGCGTGCCATCGAAAGATTGTAGCGGGCGTGACATTGGATTTCGGTATGTCTACGGTTTCTCTTGGGCGGCAGATGCGCAGGAGGTAGGCAGATCTACCAATCATGGTCAGTGAAGCAACCATGAGAACTGGTCGCTCTCAATCTCACGACGAAAACGAACACAGCCACTTACGCATCAAAGTCGAACGAGGCTGTTCATGTCAACATGTTGATTGATGAGCAGTTTAACACCGAAATTATGCCCCGGTTGCTGCCCTAACTCTATTCTGATTGCGAGGTTCACAACGCAATGCATTCACAACTTAAGATGACGAGGTGGGCTCGCTTGTCCCACATCAATGAGCGCACCTGTGTGAGAGAACCAAAGGAATTGGTAACCCTAATCCTGGTAGACACGACGGATTTAAGTTCGTGCATACGTGCACGCACAATTGATGGTAAAAGAGTCTATTAGCGCTGCTAATGGAGAACCTAACCGACTCGCGTGTGAAAATAAATCAAGAGGAAGTCATCAATGGAAACTGCAAGGGTTATGTGAAAAGGTCTTAGCTGAAAACGATGGGAACTGGATCTACAAACAAGCACAGCATGAAATAAAGTCAGGTGATCATCAATTTCCCCAGGTGGAGAGCTGCTGATCGTGTTTGAAGGCACTTTGAAAAATGACACATGAGAAAAACGGGGGGTTGTGTGATTCGTGGTGTTGCTCTACTAAGAACAAACCTGAATAAATCACGCTGACTGCTGACTGCATGCGCATTTGAACCCGAGGGTGAATCAGTGAATATGCAGCGTTCCTAAGCT